CCTGTGGTCCTAGCTACTTGGGAGGCTGAGGCAGGAGACTTGCTTGAACCCAGGAGTTGGAGGTTGCTGTGAGCTGTGATGCTACAGCACTCTACCCAGGGGGACAGCTTGAGGCTCTGCCTCAAAAATAAAATAAAATAAATCGGGTCTCTATGTAAGAGTTTTCATTTTTATTATAAAATACACCACATACACAGAAAAGAGCAAAAACTATGTATGGATAGCCTGACTACTATTCCTCCTGAATTTCAACAGATGGCCAGTCCCTGCTAAAGCAGCAGGGCCAAACAGAGCAACTCTAGTCCCACACACTGCAGAGAAAGGTGGACAAAAAATCATGGGTCATTCAGGCCACCGGGCATTGGCAGGAGCTTTGCTAGCTCCTAAAAGGGAAAATGAGACAAGAACACAAAGGCTCTCTGCATGTTCTTGATACTGGAATAGCAGATTATCTTCCAGGAAATATTTGCAACTTTGTTTTTACTATATGCAACTTTGGGTCAGTAAACAAGATTGAGCAAGAACCTAGCACTGGCATCAAGGAGAACCTGTCACCTGAAGCAAATAAGGGAGGAGAAAGCAAGTAATGTAGTCCTCCCCTCCTGCATGCACTCCCCCAGTAGCAGTCACTGCCTATACAGGAGCCTGTCTCCTACACCTTGGCTGCCAAGGTAACAGGGTCTGCTCAGGTTCACAGACCTCTGTCAAGCTCCAAAACCCTCAGGGAAACAAACCCTACTCTTGCCTAATGACTCAACCTCTACAGACCAAGAAATGCTCAGGGAGAAACTAGACTCTCCAAGACAACAGGCTAGAAAGCAGTGTCCAAAAGAGGGATTTAAACAGATTCCTCTATAGCTAGAGTGTCCAGAAAGTTTATCATCCAAACCAAGATGCTACTGGAGCAAAATGCTTTTGGTTTATCTTATTTGGATTCATTCAGCTTCTTGAATTTTTAGATTTATGTCTTTTGACAAATTTGGGAACTTTTCACCCATTGTTTCCTGAACATTTTTTAAGCTCTGCCTTCTTTCTCCTCTCTGAGACTATGACGACAACTGAATTAGATCTTTTGTTATTAGTCCCACAAGTCTCTGAAGCTCTGGGTTTTTCATTTGTTTGTTTTTTAATCAGTCTAGTTTCTCTCGGTTGTTCAGACTGGGTAATTCCTGCTATTCTGACTTCAAATGCATAAATTCTTTGCTCTGTCTGCTCCAGTCTGCTGTAGAGTCATCCATTGGGTTTTCTATTTTGGCTACTGCATCTTTGAGTTCTCAGATGTCTCTTTACACCTTGTATAATTTTAAAATCTTTGTCATCTTGCTGCATTTGCTGCATTTGCTGATTGTCTTTTCTCATTCAAGTTGAGATTTTCCTGGTTTTTGGTATGGTAGGTAAGTTTTCACACTCTATCCTGGAAATTCTGACTACTATATTTTAAGACCTGAATCTTATTTAAATCTGCCACTATAGCAGGCCTTCTCTGTCACACTGCTGGTAGGGGAGGAGAATGCCAACTGGTGCTATCTCCCTACTAGGTCTCTATCTCCCTAATAGACCTCTGCTGACAACCTGAGCTTGAAGAGGGAAGAGCACCTCCACATTGCTCTCCACATGGCTTCTACTGACACCTTAGGGTGGGTTACCCTGGGTTAGGCAGGTGGTGTAAAGTCCTGCCATTCACTAGGCTTCCTCTGACATCAAGAAGAATAGGTTTCCTTGCTTCTTCAGGGAGCCAAGATTTCCTTTCCTTTAAAAAATTTTTTTTAATTTATAATTTCCCCTTATAATTTTCTTAAATGATGTCACAGGTATAAAATAACACTGAGCCATAGGTGAAGCACAGTCCTTTGGATTCCTCTGCAATTTCTATGCATTCACTCATATCATGGAAGCACAGAGTAAAGCTACCAAGGAAATTTAAGAATGCATATAATTCCCTGGCTTCTAATAGTCTAAAGATGTTACCTATACTTCTTGGTGGTTATTTCAGGAGTCAACGCCAAGTTTGATGTGACTGAAGAATTAGTATGAAACAACTACAAGTAAGAACATGTTCAAAGAAGTTGAGAAAACACTAGTAAAGTTTGAAGAGGAATATGCAAAGATGTGTTTTACCTGGTGATGGTAAAAATACATGTGGAGCAGAAAAAGGCTTACTTTAGCTTTTGAAAAACTTGTAAAAATATAAGGTTTTTAAAGCCTATGATTATTCACTATCTTATTCATTAGCAGGTACTATGAAAAAAAAATATTTGAATCTATTATATGTTATTGAACCAGGAGTGTCAATGGTGAACTCTTATTTGCTTTCATGGACTTAAAAAAATCACTTCTGTGAATTTTCATCAGAAATAGAAGTTGAATATCCTAACTGTCCTACTATATAGCAGTTCAATGGCTTTGTAGTTGTAAGATGACTATTTGGAGCTCAGGGTCAATACTGAAATTTTTCTGAATAAGAAGAACCGCCCTCAACCACTATTATTGAATACTAAATAGCTCTGGAAATTAGCCTTGCTGCAGACTTGACATTTTTTTTATGAGGCCAATCTAAAATTATAAGGTAAAACAGCATTTATATGCAAAACTTACATCATAGTAAATCCATTTCAGTAAGACTAACACTGTCTGAATCACAAGTCATGTCAAATTGCTTTACATGTAGTCCAATTCCTATACTATCAAGGGAAAACAAGAAGTGAGATCTCCACTGCAATAAAAATTTACACTTTTTGAATTCCAACTATAGTTCCAGCAGGGTTTTTAAGATCCTGAAAGTATGAAGGAAATTCCCATATTTAAAAATCTACTTAACTGGGCAGCGCCAGTGGCTCAGTAGGTAGCGTGCTAGCCCCATATACTGAGGGTGGCAGGTTCAAACCCAGCCCCGGCCAAACTGCAACAAAAAAAACAGCTGGGTGTTGTGGCAGGTGCCTGTAGTCTCAGCTACTCGGAAGGCTGAGGCAAGAGAATTGCCTAAGTCCTGGAGTTGGAGGTTGCTGTGAGCTGTGACACCACAGCACTCTACAGAGGGTGATAAAGTGAGATTCTGTCTCTAAAAAAAAGTTTTTTAAAAATCTACTATTTGTATAATTGAGGAGCTTCCACCTAACTCTCAATAGAAATGATTGGTCTGTAATATAACAATATGCTAAAAGGCAAATATCAAGGGGAGAATCTAATAGAATCCTATACATGCTGCCTTCCAATGATTAATATGCTCAACTAAAATTATATGCTCACAGACTACTATTATTATTTGGTAGCTATCTGTGTGAAAAGATATTTTCAAAAATGAACATGTAGGGTGGTGCCTGTGGCTCAAGGAGTAGGGCACTGGCCCCATATGACAGAGGTGGCAGGTTCAAACCCAGTCCGGCCAAAAACTGCAAAAAAAAAAAAAAGAATAAGTAAAATCTCGTTACAGATCAGCATTAGCAGGTGAGTATTTGCAAATGATTTTGATGACAGGAAACTTTGAATGTCAATTAAGCAAAATGTTATCCTTACAAAAATAATTCCATTCTTCTTTTTAGTAGATATGTATTTTTAAAATTATGCTCAATTGTGGCTCGGTGCCTGTAGCTCAAGTGGCTAAGACACCAGCCACATACACCAGAGCTGGTGGGTTCGAATCCAGCCTGGGCTTATCAAACAACAATTACAACTACAACCAAAAAATAGCCGGGCGTTGTGGCGGGCCCTGTAGTCCCAGCTACTTGGGAGGTTGAGGCAAGAGAAATGCTTAAGCCTAGGAGTTGGAGGTTGCTGTGAGCTGTGATGTTACGGCACTCTACCCAGGGGGACAGCTTGAGGCTGTCTCAAAAAAAAAAAAATTGTGCTCAATTATTATTATTTGAATTTCATCAACAAAAAATGTTGTGGAAATTTATTGTCTTTCTTGTTGTATAAGTACCTATATAATATCCTAGATTTACCTCTCAACCTGCAAAGCCTGAAATATTTGTTACCTGGCCTTTTACAGAAAAATTTTACCAGACCTTTCTCTAGATCAGTGATTTCCTTTCTCTCTCTTTTTTTTTTGAGACAGAGTCTCACTCTGTCATCCTTGGTAGAGTGCTACAGCGTCACAACTCACAGCAACCTCAAACTCTTGGGCTTAACTGATTTTCTTGCCTACGCCTCCCAAGTGGCTAGGACTATAGACACCCGCTACAACGCCTAGTAATTGTTTTTAGAAGTGGGGTCTTGCTCTGGCTCAGGCTGGTCTCCACCCTATGAGCTGAAGTAAACCACCCACCTCAGCCTCCCAGAGTGCTAGGATTACAGGTGTGGACTGCCTTGCCCAGCCCAAATCAGTGATTTTCAATGATGTGCGATGAAAATTATTAAAGATCATTAATTAAATTATTTTCCAAATAAGTTCAAAACACAGTAAGCATAGTCCTTTTTTGACTTTTTTATTTGATCAGCATAATTTAAGTGTGCTCCGGAAGTTTAACTACAGGTTCAAATGTGCAGTGAGATAAAAAAAGGTTGAAAAGACTGCTCTAGATAACTGGAGCATACCTAGTTAGCTAGCACTGCAATGAATGAACAAGTTCTGAGTCCTACTAGTTTCCGAATGTGGGAATTTCAGGAGGTTACTTAACCTCTCAGGTCCTCAGGTTTATTATCCCTAAGGCAATGTGGGGATAATCACCAAGAACCACAGGCAGTACTCAAAACTCTATGCTGCTTCCAAAATATATTAACTGGTTCAGCACCCGTGGCTCAAGCAGCTAAGGCACCAGCCACATACACCTGAGCTGGCAGGTTTGAATCCAGCCCCAGCCTGCCTGACAACAATGACGGCTGCAACCAAAAAATAGCCGGGCATTGTGTTGGGCGCCTACAGTCCGAGCTGCTTGGGAGGCGGAGGCAAGAGAATTGCTTGAGCCCAGGAGTTGGAGGTTGCTGTGAGCTGTGATGCCATGGCCGGCCCTCTACCCAGGGTGACAGTTTGTGGCTCTGTTTCAAAAAAAAAAAAAAAAAAAAAAAAAAAAAATATATATATATATATATATATATATATGTTAACTATTTCTCTGTTGTGTCTGGAGTTCATGCAGCATGCCTGTTCTATATTACTCAGATTGTATCATTACAGATGTATTCAGGGGTTACTAAGGCAAGGAAGGGTGCTTGCACCCATGTGGAGAGATGCCAGGCTATAGCCTTTCAGTGCTTGCATCTTTGCTGGAGGTGTCTTTTGTCTTTTTTTATGGACAAGATGACTCTCACCACTATGACAGTACCGATGTTCCTTTAGAAGTCTCTCCCTCATTTGTAATTGGATGCTCTGAATCTGCTTGAACTGGAAAATTAGCTGCTTGCTGCTTGTTAATGATAATCTAAAATAAGAGTAAAGAGGTTGTGGAGTTGGGTCTGAGATACCTCTTATCCATGGACCTTGTGAAATACGTTCAAGATACTCTGAGTTGCCTCTTGATTCTTCCATGTGCTGGAGATGTGCCCCAAAGCCTCATGAACTACTGCTCTGTGTGCCCAAAGATGCTGAAAGCTCCTACCAAAGCAGTTGGAAGATGTGCCAGGGCTCTGCTACATGCCATCTGGTTGCTTGCCTATGAGGCCCAGAGCACTGGGGACACTCGGAAGCATAAGGCATGCACAGCTCCTGTTCTTACAGAGCTTACAGTCTGGAATAACCTCCAGAAAAATGTTCAGGTACAAAAACACCATGTCAAAGGGCATGCCTCTGTCACTCTTCTGTCCATGTACCCAGCCAGCAGCTGAGAGACACATGTTGCAGCCAGAAACTAAATGTGCAGATTCAGGTGGGAGCAACACTCTGATTCTGCCTCAAAGAGCTCTTCGCTGTGAGGAAGGGCAAGCATATCCCACCAGTCACAACACTGAGCTCTGAGGAAGAAGGGGGCAAGATAGTCCAAAAGAGTCCAGGAAGGGGCACCCAGAGGCTAACATCTGCACTGGATGATGAAGACTGACCAGGAGCCACCAGTCAGATAGGTGGCATAAGCGAAGTTCCTGACAGAGGATGCACATGCCAAGGCCTAGAACACAAAAGCATCTATAGAATCTGGGGTGACTTAAGTGTGGTGCAATGGTATGTGTTTCTATGTGGGGGTGTACAGGTGGCAAGTAAGAGATAGGCTTTTAAAAGGGACCCGGCTTTTAAAAGGGAACCCCATGTGCCAGTCTGTCTTTAGGTTCCAGGCAGCTGGTGATGACCAGGCAATGGGTGGCTATAATTAGAATGATGGCCAAAGGAAGGTAATACTGCACAATAATGTTTGTACCCTCAATATCAGTCTGGTCACAGAGCCTTGACCAAGACATCCTAGAAAACATTCTCTACCACAGATGCTCAAGTGGCCCCAGCTCGTGACCTTTCCCCCACATTATTTGGAAACACATGACTAGCATGTGTCTGTTGCAACAGTGAAAGGAGAAGACTGTCAACCAAAGCTACATCTGTACAAGCATGACTCAGCAGGAAGCAGGTGGAAGAGCAGGAATTATTCAGCACAGGGCTTACCATGCCAGTTGCTGCGGCTTGTGCCTAATTCTAGAAGCATTTCTGGGGCTGCTGCCAGTTGGCCTGAACACCAAGGGGGACAAACCCACAGCTCCCCAAGCTCTGGGGCACTCTGTGGGTATGCTTCAATAGCACTACTAAACAGCAGCACAAGAAGGTCTATAGGCACAAAACACACTTCACAGGAGTTTGTACTGGCTCATCCTCTTGAACACTCCTTTGCCTCTATTAATTCTAAATAAAAATAGGGAAGAGAAACAGAGAGTTAGAGGACTTTCCTTAGTTTCCTCAAACTCTGAAGTCTGCATTTGCCTCTAGCGCATCACCTGGAATAAGGAGTTACAAGCTGTTAAGGATCTCACCCTTACACACACACACACACACACACACGCTACAGTCCCCATGACAC